TACACCTGACCAGCTGATTATCAACAACATGCATATGGTGACCAAACACAATTAACTACGTGACCATTTGCGATACCAATAGGGAGGATTTCCGGTTTATATTTAGTGCGAACATCCGGTGATGACAGGGACGTTATAAATGAAGTTTCCTTTTGTTTTAATGTAATTAATGTGTTCGCCATGTTTGTTTGGGTTAATTGTACAACCGATCCGCGAGCGACTGGTATTCTTATTAATCCCTAAGCTTGATATTTTTCATTTAAAGAACGTTCATGTCAAAAAAACAGGGCAATGGACGGCGGAACTCATTATAATGAAACGATTTTGTATAGATCTTCCCTGAGCTTGGGTCTTCAATAGATACTATTATAATGGTGTAAGGTATTCTGGTGATATATAGAGGTTACACATCGATTGGTTGTTGAATATGGTATTTATTTCACTCGAGTTAGTTAAATATGACATGGACATGAGTGAAATTAGCTGTTTCCGACTGAGATTGTGGTAGAAATCAGTTTAGTACATAAGAGAAGTTTAGCTTAAGGCCAAAAACCGGTTATGGGCATATTGCTTGCTTAACTGCCAAATTCCAGTTGAAGGACATGTATAAGAATAGGCCATAAATTGGTTAAGGGTGCATTGTACGCTAAACTGCCAATATACAGTGGAGGTACCAATTCAAGAATTGGTAGACTGATCGGTTCATATATAAATATTTTACTGTTGTTAATGCATGAAACGATTTTTATCATAATAAGGCAGGTTTAAATATTTCATATAAGATATTTCTTAATACACTTGCACACATGTACTTGAAACTGTGTATGGAAGGTTGTCAAATGCGACAACTGTGGGTGTATCTCAGTTATATACCGGTAATGATGCAAACCAGATTATGTTATAGTGTATATTAACTAAAGTACAGTGTGTAAAAGTATATATCTAATACTATACACTGCATACCACGTTGAACGTTACAATTGAGGAAAATGTCAAATGCACACGTGCGTATGAAAACTTGTAAGGTTGACTGTGAGGAATATATCGATTGCTTCATAATGATATACATTGTGACCGTCACAAGAAAGAGGAGCCAGATTTGAGCACAAAAAAAGGGTATAAAATAATAATACAATCTACATTCGTTTCTTTAGCGATGGCGGCAGTATGCTTATTTCGTTAATTCATCTAAGGTATACATTAAACACTCGTTATATTGCCTAAATTTGTCAGAGCAATTTGGCGTCATAAAACGATTTGGCGATAAATTGAGAGAAGTATATAGAGGAATTCTTAAGAAAACGAGAAACGAGACATTGAAATGTGTTAGCAGTAAACGAGGTTGCATATAAAACGAGGAGCATATATAAAAGGAAATATAGAAAAAAATAGATCTAACGATTGACTAAAAAATAAGCTGCTTTCACCCTTTACTTGGCTCTTCAGATTTAAAATAAATATATTGACATAATTGTAAATAAAGTTCTTTCGTCTTACGAATACAAGTGTATGTCTTACTAAGTAGCAGTTTTTTGTTTTACAATACGAATATGTCTTACCCATAAGCAGTAGTTTGTTTTACAATACGAATATGTCTTACCAAGTTGTAGTAGTTTGTTTTGCAATACGAACATGTCTTACCCAGTTGTAGTAGTTTGTTTAGCAATACGAATATGTCTTACCCAGTAGCATTAGTTTGCTTTACAATACGAATGTTTTACGATACATATATGTCTAGCCCAGTTGTAGTAGTTTGTTTAGCAATACGAATATATCTTACCCAGTTGTAGTAGTTTGTTTAGCAATACGAATATGTCTTGCCCAGTAGCATTAGTTTGCTTTACAATACGAATGTTTTACGATACATATATGTCTAGCCCAGTTGTAGCAGTTTGTTTAGCAATACGAATATATCTTACCCAGTTGTAGTAGTTTGTTTAGCAATAGGAATATGTCTTACCCGGTTGTAGTATCTTGATTTACAATACTAATATGTCTTACCCAGTTGGAGTAGTTTGTTTTGCAATACGAATATGTCTTACCCGGTTGTAGTAGTTTGATTTACAATACTTATATGTCTTACCCAGTTGTAGTAGTTTGTTTAGCAATACGAATATGTCTTTCCCGGTTGTAGTAGTTTGATTTACAATAGGAATATGTCTTACCCAGTTGGAGTAGTTTGTTTTGCAATACGAATATGTCTTACCCGGGTGTAGTAGTTTGATTTACAATACTTATATGTTTTTCCCAGTTGTAGTAGTTTGTTTAGCAATACGAATATGTCTTACCCGGTTGTAGTAGTTTGATTTACAATAGGAATATGTCATACCCGGATGAAGTAGTTTGTTTAGCAATACGAATATGTCTTACCCGGTTGTAGTAGTTTGATTTACAATACGAATATGTCTTACCCTGAAATAGTAGTTTGTTTAGCAATACGAATATGTCTTACCCAGTTGTAGTAGTTTGTTTAGCAATACGAATATGTCTTACCCAGTTGTAGTAGTTTGTTTAGCAATACGAATATGTCTTACCCAGTTGTAGTAGTTTGTTTAGCAATACGAATATGTCTTACCCAGTTGTAGTAGTTTGTTTAGCAATACGAATATGTCTTACCCAGTTGTAGTAGTTTGTTTAGCAATACGAATATGTCTTACCCAGTTGTAGTAGTTTGTTTAGCAATACGAATATGTCTTACCCAGTTGTAGTAGTTTGTTTAGCAATACGAATATGTCTTACCCAGTTGTAGTAGTTTGTTTAGCAATACGAATATGTCTTACCCAGTTGTAGTAGTTTGTTTAGCAATACGAATATGTCTTACCCAGTTGTAGTAGTTTGTTTAGCAATACGAATATGTCTTACCCAGTTGTAGTAGTTTGTTTAGCAATACGAATATGTCTTACCCAGTTGTAGTAGTTTGTTTAGCAATACGAATATGTCTTACCCAGTTGTAGTAGTTTGTTTAGCAATACGAATATGTCTTACCCAGTTGTAGTAGTTTGATTTACAATATGAATATGTCTTACCCTGAAAAAGTAGTTTGTTTAGCAATACGAATATGTCTTACCCAGTTGTAGTAGTCTGTTTTGCAATACGAATATGTCTTACCAGAGGCAGTTGTTTGTTTAGCAATACGAATATGTATTACCCAGTTGTAGTAGTTTGTTCTGCAATACGAATATGTCTTACCAGAAGCGGTAGTTTGTTTAGCAATACGAATATGTTTTACCCAGTTGTAGTAGTTTGTTCTGCAATACGAATATGTCTTACCAGAAGCGGTAGTTTGTTTAGCAATACGAATATATCTTACCCAGTTGTAGTAGTTTGCCTTGCAATACGAATATGTCTTACCCTGAAAAAGTAGTTTGTTTAGCAATACAAATATGTCTTACCCAGTTGTAGTGGTTTGTTTTGCAATACGAATATGTCTTACTAGAAGCAGTAGTTTGTTTAGCAATACAAATATGTCTTACCCAGTTGTAGTGGTTTGTTTTGCAATACGAATATGTCTTACCAGAGGCAGTTGTTTGTTTAGCAATACGAATATGTTTTACCCAGTTGTAGTAGTTTGTTTTACAATAGGAATATGTCTTACCCAGTTGTAGTAGATTGATTTACAATATGAATATGTCTTACCCAGTTGTAGTAGTTTGTTTTGCAATACGAATATGTCTTACCAGAAGCAGTAGTTTGTTTAGCAATACGAATATGTCTTACCCAGTCGTAGTAGTTTGTTTAGCAATACGAATATGTCTTACCCGGTTGTAGTAGTTTGTTTTACAATAGGAATATGTCTTACCCAGTTGTAGTAGTTTGTTTAGCAATACGAATATGTCTTACCCTGTTGTAGTCGTTTGATTTACAATAGGAGTATGTCTTACCCGGTTGTAGTAGTTTGATTTACAATAGGAATATGTCTTACCCGGTTGTAGTAGTTTGTTATACAATAGGAATATGTCTTACCCGGTTGTAGTAGTTTGTTTTACAATATGAATATGTCTTACCCGGTTGTAGTAGTTTGATTTACAATAGGAATATGTCTTACCCGGTTGTAGTAGTTTGATGTACAATAGGAATATGTCTTACCCAGTTGTAGTAGTTTGATTTACAATAGGTATATGTCTTACCCGGTTGTAGTAGTTTGATTTACAATAGGAATATGTCTTACCCGGTTGTAGTAGTTTG